TTCAACAGTCAATTCGACTTTTGTAATACCAGGGTTATAGTATTCCTCAGTATCTCTGGACAATGGTTCAAAAGGGGTCTCGAACAACATTAAAATACCCTTCAATGATCTAGCAGGGAGGTTTAGATTGATATTCCACATCGTATCACTTTTGTCCCTGGTAATCTTTCGGTGCAGGAGCATGCGATCATACAAATTGGCTACACTTCCGTTATACTGGTTACGAATTTGTCTGGCTAATTCAGGATCTGTTATCATATCATACTCCAGTGAGATATTGTCAATGGAATAGCGAGCATCATCGGCAGCTTTGATTACTCTACTGTAGTCATTAAAAGTGAGTTCCTATTCTAACCTATCTCCTAGGGATGCTTGACAAAATGGCATGTGACTATCGAGTAATTCAAAATCGAGCGGAATATGGAATCGGTTACCCAATGCATTCGCAACAGCCAGATCTTCTGTGATGACATTGGCATTCTCAGCACCCACACACAGTCTCATTGAATTCCGATTAGTGCTTGTGTCAATACCTTGGTACAGTAAGTTTTCCCATTCTTTCGCCATTCTCCAGAGATCCATGTAACAGAATTGTACATCGCTGTCGTCAATACTAAAAACCTCATTACCGCTAATATTAATTGTGATTTTCTTTTTGTTCTGAACAAGCTCTCTGTTATTGTGATCAGAAGTCAAACTAATTGTAAATGATAGTCGGGCAGTGTCCTACAACTAACACACCATGAGTGCCGAGATTAGGAAAGCAAACCAAAAGTGTTTGAATCTGATCAATGGTACTCGGGTTATTAGTTATAGTTACAGACTGGCGAATTGCTTTGACTCCTTTGGATTCCAAAGTCTACGTTGTGGATTTAACTTGCATCCGTATTGCGAAGACATTGTTTATATTGAAATTATGTTACCTTATGTTTAATATAAAAATGGATGATATTAATCTAGATAACCTAGCTGATACTAGTACAGTCGAGGAGGGTCCTGATGAAACCAGCTTTATGAATCTTAACGAGGAACTTTTGCAATCAACCGTTAATGATTATTACAATGTCTTAAAAGAGGAAACAAATATGTTCCTCCTACTGGTCGTGACTATTCCAAGTTTAAAATAGATAGTAAAGGAATATTGTGACTGCGTTGCTCTCTGGATATTGAACTTATGCATTCTCATACTAGGAAACCCCTAGCGTTGTCTACGATAGGCGGGCGTCGAAGTGGCATCACCATTATTCGTAATGAATTAGGTCTTGCAGACTATGACAACTCACAAGCAAAACTTTCTGCGAAGACTACTAAGGTTCTTCAGACTGTGCGTACTGAACTCAGTGCAACAGCTGCTGCCATAGATAAAGATAATTTGGAAGATGTACCACAATGCACTAAGCAGGTCATTGATGGACTCAAAGAAATCTTGGAAACTTACGATAATTCCACGTTACAGGTACCATCCTTGTACAATATTAGAGAATTACGAGGTATTGACAGGGCAATGCAAACAATGCAGGGGTCACTCATTAATAATATAGCCAAGCCAGATAAACTCGACAAGCATATAGCTTATGAGAAAACAAAACTTGAACAGGCAGACGATGAATTCAGCAGACCCCGTGTTACAGAAAGATTACATAACTTAGAAGACGAAAGATCAGCCCGCTTCGAAACAGTTTCCACAAATAAAGAGGCACTATTGATCAAGTCCTCAATGATGATACAACACTGGCCGAAAAAATTAAAACATTTTTCAGAGAACAGGGGATAACCATTACTAGTATTTTAACTGCATTGGTATTTATTATATCAACTTTGACTCTAGCGTTAACCGGGGGCGGCGGTGTCCGCGGTGTCCGCGGTGTCCGCAGTGTACGAGGTGGCACACCTTGTGATAAAAATTGTGTAAAAGAGTGGATAAAAGGCATTTACAGACATTAGGGGAAGCACTGGGAAAGCTCACTGGGAAAGCCACATCTGCACTTCCTGGTATAATTGGGAGTATTGTATCCTAGCTCTTGAATTTATAAGCCAAGACCGCTACTTGGCTTAGTCAAAACTTGTTGGCTGTTGTACGTCTCTGCTAAAGACTAGTTATCTAAATCATGAGTAAACCAGCTGCAACTCCACCTACTAAGTACTTTTTTCATCGATTTGTTGTTGATCTTGAGTGGAAATATGTGGTTTTACAACTTGTGGCTGTGAAACATGTGGTTTTCATGATGACTCTGGCTTGACTATTCCTGTTTCGCCTGTGTTTGTTTGCGTCATTAATTCAGTGTTAATATCTGAATTTTTACCTGGTTTTTGTTTATCGGTAGCAACCACAATTTTATTATTATAACCTATCACTTGGCCGATCTTAAGTTCCATATTACTCGGAGACATGTATAGTCCCTCCCCAAAAACGCAGTCTACTTTGGATTGAGCGTACTGTCATACATCTTGATAACGCTTTATAAAAGATGGTATGTCAACTGGTGAAGCAATAGTATCCTCTACATTTGAAACAAACTGTTTTAGTGCATTGAGCGCCATCCCAGAACCAAATTATTCCTGTGTATTGCCCATACATAAGTTCTTATTGATTCATTAACTCTTACAACTCCTGGGTTAGTAAATTATTTTCTGTTTTATCATAAAGAAATTCATCCCAAACATTTTTAGCATGTTGTGGTTGCTCAACCTTTTGGACGGTGAAAGTCACACCACCCTTAAAGTTCATACGATCGTCTCTCCACTCGTCACTCGAGAGAGCAAAGCTCGGAAGAAGCCGACCTCTTTTCAGTAATCTGATAGTACACATGAAATGATAAAACAGACTTATTTAGTTCAAAGCCGGCAGCATAAAGAGATACAGCACATCCTGTTGTTGCACACCATATGTTAAAGTTTAACTGGTTTTGCCAAAATTGAATTGGATTGTGGAACCAATCATGCAAAATTTTGGTGCTAGTTGCTGCGAACCTGTATTTTTCAAAGATATCAGGAAACTGAACAAAAAACTTAGCACCAGAGGCTTTTACTAAAATCGACTGGATCGTAATGTAAGTTGATTTCATATTTAAGTTATGATATAGTATCTTTGTATATTTAATATGTATGTTACACTCCCGGGAATAACAAATGATCGTCCATTCAACTGCTTTATGCAATTGATAACTCAGTTGGGCAACTTGAAGTTGCTCTCTGCGATGTAACGTATTACCCGCGGTGGACCAATATAAGTGCTTTGAGAGATAATAATAAGATATATATATATAAATAGAGAGTGGCACACTATATCTGATGGGTATCACAGCGTATGCTCACTCAATGATGATTTTTTTAAGCCTTCTGGAGCGTGTCTAACACAAAATGAGTCGAATAGGGTGTTGATGTTAAGCAGTGGAGAACAGTCTATAATTCTTCACAGGAACTAAGCAAATACACTTGGATTTATCAGAGGAGAAGTATTAAACAACATAACAGTGCATAGAATTAAATTACCCTATATAGTTCCCTATAAAGAGCTATGCATCCATCTTTATCAGATCAGTACAACGGATAATATTCAACTTGAAAGTCCTTCAAATCGAAAGTCCTTCAACTCTGCTAAGAGCTATTCCAGTCAAAGATGAAAAGTACAATAGTGGTAGAGCGGAATTTTTCTCAACATCACAATATACAAAGTTGAGGTGTTATTACAGATCTCAAAGTTTCTGTAATAGATGTAAAACATCAACCTGTACATATAGGATATTTTAGTGTGACACTCATAAAAAATGGTTGATTCTTCAGGCCCTGGAACACATAACCTTAGACAATGTAATACTATTGTGCTTTCTGATCTTGGAGACACAGAAGGACTTGATAAACATGGTACCGATGGCAAGTTATATGCTTTACACTTACAAGATAATGTATACAAGTGGAAAGAAGTTGTATTCACAGGACCAACACCTAATCTAGAAGATTTAAATGATGGTGACGTTAGTAGTTTCCATAAAAAAACTTCATACAATCTTCCTCGCAATGATGATAATGAATGGACTATGATCGAAGCAAAAATCGAGTGGCTACTGAATATCGCCATTGCCCCACCATATTTGACGATGGGTAAAGGACATTATCTAACTTAGATAATCAATAGTGGTAACGTACTCGGGGCTTATATCCACTCAAAACGAAAGTGTGTGTTAGTCGCTCCCCTGCCAGATGACCCAGGCTATGTGTTATTGAGTCAACCAAATACAATGAAATGAAGCAGGAGATTCGATCAAATTCTCGAAAGACCAGTGGCATCAGTGAAGACAAGAAAAAAAAAGTTCACATAACAGGGAAAACAACAAGCGCATCAATTATTCCGTGCCAAAACCAAAGAACTGGTTGGAAATTAAAAATAGATTGTTTATCCTGGATACATCGTTTGATCGCACCACATAAAAAAATCATTTAGACGAATGCCTACACAAGTCTATAATAATAGGAAATTACAAGCCAACAAAGGAAGAACTTGAAAGAGCTATCGAGGCATTTATGCTCCGGGACAAAATTATCAAATGGCGAGAATTACCACAAGGGATATATTATATCAGTGATGTCAAACCATCCAAATACGGTTATCAATTGTTTCTTTCCAATGGCAAAGAAGAGTATACAGTCTGGTCTCCTTGTAAAATGAATGAAGAACTTAGTATAAATGTTGAATATCACTTTGTTCAAAATAATGGTATTCGTATGAGTAAAAATAATAGAGAATATTTTCATTACAATTTAGTTTAGAATCGTGAAGATCGTTGGAATGGCTCCAGGTGCCATGACGATCATTTGTTCGCATCGCCGTTTTTGCATAAAAAATTACCACTGTAGTATAGGAATTGGTATATAAATCTGGCTCCATTGGAGTTGCGGTAGTCATCATTACCTATACTACTAGGTGTATTGAATAGTAAGCAGAAAAAAGTACAGAGAAAAATGTTTTCCAGTCTTACACAAATACATCCAAGCACACATACCTTATTATCAAAACATGAGTAGAATCGGTCTCGAAATCCAAAGTTGCCTTGACCCTGACATCATTCCCCACACACTCAAACAGATCATCTCGCCCACTTGCGACAGTCAGATTTACCACATCACCATCATAGTCATCGGTGGCGAGGGTGACCACAACTGCCCCAACACTGGAATCTTCACTCACATCCGTCGTGTAGTCAGTCTGGTCGTAAAACGGTGCGTTATCATTGACATTTGTGAGTGTGACTACAACAGTCCCATCCACATGGCGAGATGAGGTCCCTCTATCCGAGGCTCTCAGCCCGATGGTGTAACTGGCTTCCCCATTCGTCCCTGCGTCTACGTCCAACGCCCCTGCAACCGTCAGCTCCCCTGTTGTGGAGTCTATAGAGAACTTGTCTGTTGCTGTTGCTCCAGAAGCTGTAACACGACACAAAGATTGTCATGTGCTTACGGGTGGTCATGCTCACTGACTTGGTTGATGCATGTTATCGTATCCCAAAAGCGTGAATCGATGTTCAGAATCGATCATTTACAAATCGTCGTCAATTTTGCTGCGTGGGGCGTTAAAAACAAACGAAACAAAAAACATCATGTTTTACGTCATAGCAATGACTTTTGCTCGCCATCCTTCATTTAACCATACATCCTTAAATATGAGGAATATAAAAATACATACATGATGCTTATTTCTTTCACAAATTTCAGTAATATAATCTTTATTGTTGATTATCATGGATACGTTGTCATGTTTGAAAATAAAATAACTTTTGATTTGAGATTAGCACCGCGTCGAATATTGTTTTATCTCTGTTTAAAGAGCCAGGAAAGCCAGATTACACAGGTTCTGGTCGATTATCAGCTGCAGCCATAAGCAGGGGTATGGTGCAGGCAGATCAGGGATCAAAACTGGAGTGAATTTGTGACTCGAATGAAAGACTTGCATATTCTGTCAGGACACAACGACGTGCAATGGACGGGAGTAATGAGGCAACAATTCCAACTCAGTACAAGTTGTTTCCATCTGTGAAGATCCGGAGCTGACTTGGTTGATGCATGTTATCATTTCCCAATTGTGAGGATCGATGCTCATGATGTCAATCACTGGATTATCTGGTCCAGACTTCATTATTTACAGACGGCCGTCTTACAGCTGGAATATTTCTCAGTGCGCCGTTAAACAACAAACAAACAAACAAGTTGATACTCTTAACCCACCTCCAGTTACAGACGTGGTGCTGAATGTGATCTCCCCATCCACTTCAAGATCAGCATCAGTCGCCTGGAACGTTGTGATCACGTATCCCGGAGCTTCTCCCTCACTGACTGTAGCTCCTGCAAAGTTACTGCTGGCATCAGGAACTGGATTACTCCAAACAGGGCCGAACTCGTTCTCTGGTTTGACCGTCACCTTCACTATCGCTGTCCCTGTGTTGGCCTCCCCCTGGTCTGGTGTGTCCACTGCTGTGATGACCAGGGTGTACATGTAGCCTGATGCTGCTACAGCCTCGTAGTCAGCAGGGGTGGAGTCCGTAAGGAGCTGCAGTCCAGACATCTTGAAGATACCTGCTCCGCCATCTCCACCGGCAACCGTGACGTCAAACAAGGCGTTGTTACCCGTGTCTCCATCAGAGCAGGTCAGATCAGCCAGTGCAGTGTCTAGGAAAATGAAAAATGCTTTTTGAGAAACCTATCTTTTCATTTTCTTTCTTTATTTCACCTTACCGACAATGATTTAAAGGAATCCATTTCTTGAACCTTTGTAAAATTTAGTTTTGTATTAACTTCCATCACCTGCCCCATGGTTTGGGGAAAATATGTAGATACAAAACTCTTAACTATATTTTTATGCTACTGACTGGACATAGGAAAGAGAATGAGGAGGTCAGCCTAGTAGAGGGTACACAAATAGACACAATGTAACTTATCAGAACCTACTTGCAGCAGCGTTTTCTGTGACTTCAACTTCGTAAACAGATGGGTTGAACACAGGGAAGAGGTCATTGATGTCGTCGACGGAGATGGTTACTGTTTAAGATGCTTGATTCGAGGTTGTGTCAGTTACCGTTACTGTGAAGACAAGCTGTGTCAATCCGCTGTCGTAGTCCACGTTCTGGGCGACAGTCAGTTCTCCAGTACCTGAGTCAATGTTGAGGTAGGTGCTCCCGGATCCTGGATAACCATAATGTAGCAGCAGTGAACTGGACGCACTTTCTGCATAAACGCTGCACTATCAGTACTACCACATGGCTTCGTCTCACTATTACGTCGGGGAGGTAGCTCAGTCGTTACAGACGCGTTCGATCCCCACATTGGTTACAATGTAGGAAGCCTAATTTTCATGGTGTCACCCGCCCTGTTATTGCTGAAGGTTTTCGGGAGCGGGAGAAGGGGTGGGGAGTTTTCAGCCCTAACTGGGGCAGGTGTCAGTTTCAAAACACCTACATCGCTCAGTGGACACACGCCGAGGTTAATAATCGAGGCACAATCTGACATTGAACTCAAAGTGAACACATCCACAGCCTCCCATAGCCGTTAATGACGTTCAATGCACATTAACCTCTCCGTGGTCTAGTGGTAGAGCGTCCGCCCGGAGAGCGGAAGGTCCGGGGTTCGATGTCAAGCCGCGTCATATCAAAAGACGTTAAAAGATGGTAATTGTTGTCAGCCTGTCTGAGGGGCTAAAACAAGGACTCGGGGTCAGTGTGCTGTGTCTGAGTTGGGTATTCATGTTCAGCTGCAGTATGGTATGTCAGTTGGCTAGCACTATAAAATCGGCATTAGTCCGGACTTGTACAAACAGCCACACACACATACACACACGTACATGCACGTCGCTATTTAAGTGCAATACTCTTGGACGCAACGTTAAACCCCATTTCACCCAACCTCAATACATATTATATAAGACTTTTATATGTGTGACTTTACCACTCACAGGTGGTGGGGTAGTGTAGTGATTTAGCGTTTGCTCGTCGCGCCTTAAGTCCGGGTCCGGTTGCCTCCTCTTGGTGCCAAATTTGTAAAATAATATTTTATGCTTTACTATTGCAAAAAGGTTTACATAATCATGGCAAATTTAGGTCACTCACCACTTATGGTGTAACTAAGGGTATCTGCAGCATCTGGGTCGGAGGCGACAACTCCCCCAGATACCCGTGTTCCTATAGTTTGCTCTTCTGCCATAGATGTGTTAGATACAACCGTGATGGTCGGGCTCTCGTCCTTAATATCCTGAACGTTCACAACCATCGGAACATCGGACGAATGTGTACCATCGCTGACCCTGGTGAAGAAACGTATTTAGAGTCAATCACGAATGTAATGGTGTGTTAGTGAGTGAGTGTCTTAAACAGAAATTTCAGCTATATCATTGAGTAGCGGCTAAATATGGCAGGAAAGCCAAACGTATGCAGGTCCTTTGGTCGGTTTGGTGACAGCAAAGAGCTCGGGTATTCCCGGATTCCTAATTGGGGCGAATCTGGGATTCGAACCCATCGCCTGCGGATCCTGTAGTGACTCGTGTCTGACCTGAGATGACATGACCCTTAAGTTATCATTTCCACTACATTTTTATGCAGACGTTTACCACCTTTTTGAAACCCACGAGGAAGGTTGCTGACAATCCAAGCATCAATAAAAAGAAGAATCTGGGAGTGGAATCCACGACCACAGGACCCTGGTATGCCTGTGGAAACAACTCTTCACAGCGGATTACGACACCTCTGACAATCAGGCCACTCGCGCACCTTTAAAGTGTAATTCCTCTGCTTATCAAATGATAATATATATTTGAATTGTCTTTCATATTTTTCGTACATAAATATTATGTCTGAAACAGGGTTTGTTGAAAATGATTTGGTGTATCTTGTTGATAGGGGAAAAGAAATTTTAGAACCGTCTGAGGAATCACTGATATTCAAATTCGTAACGAATTCAATTCAAATTCAAATTCCAATGATCACTGTATGAAAGGCCATAGACCAAAATACATGAAGTGCATACAATACAGTACAAGAATGAAGTGCATACAATACAGTACAAGAATGAAGTGCATACAATACAGTACAAGAATGAAGTGCATACAATACAGTACAAGAATGAAGTGCATACAATACACTACAAGAATGAAGTGCATACAATACAGTACAAGAATGAAGTGCATACAATACACTACAAGAATGAAGTGCATACAATACAGTACAAGAATGAAGTGCATACAATACACTACAAGAATGAAGTGCATACAATACACTACAAGAATGAAGTGCATACAATACAGTACAAGAATGAAGTGCATACAATACAGTTACTGTACAAGAATGAAGTGCATACAATACAGTACAAGAATGAAGTGCATACAATACAGTACAAGAATGAAGTGCATACAATACACTACAAGAATGAAGTGCATACAATACAGTACAAGAATGAAGTGCATACAATACAGTACAAGAATGAAGTGCATACAATACAGTACAAGAATGAAGTGCATACAATACAGTACAAGAATGAAGTGCATACAATACACTACAAGAATGAAGTGCATACAATACACTACAAGAATGAAGTGCATACAATACAGTACAAGAATGAAGTGCATACAATACACTACAAGAATGAAGTGCATACAATACAGTACAAGAATGAAGTGCATACAATACACTACAAGAATGAAGTGCATACAATACAGTACAAGAATGAAGTGCATACAATACAGTACAAGAATGAAGTGCATACAATACAGTTACTGTACAAGAATGAAGTGCATACAATACAGTACAAGAATGAAGTGCATACAATACAGTACAAGAATGAAGTGCATACAATACAGTACAAGAACGAAGTGCATACAATACAGCACAAGAATGAAGTGCATACAATCATTTTACAAAAAAGAATCACATGTTTAATTTCTTTACATTTCTGCTCTATATATAACATAACAGATTAAAAATCTTGATAATTTGTGGTTGCCATGAGGCGAATAAATTGTTGGTCAGAAGGTCGAATTACATAATTTTTTGGTATGTATTGCTTTCGAAATGTCTTTTCAGGACGGACATATAAAGATGAAATGATACAGATCTTCAATATTATTTACGTTACGGTATGTGCATAATCTTTCATTTTGGAATTTTGTGTTGTCTCCCGGTAGGAATATGTATCTAATTCGAGGACGAGCAAACCCGGTAGCTTCTCCAAAGAAGATCGAATTGATTAAATATGTCTCTGCTTCTAAGCTCATCCAAAAAGTGCAGAACATTCCAAGTAAGTAAGGCAATATTTGTCTATCACTGTAATATATTTTCAGAATGTGTGAGATCATACCCCAGAACTTAACTTGAGCATAATCGATCCCTGTATACAAAATAACATTAAGGACTCATCACGGCGATGAAGATGTTGCACGATGTATGAATGGAATGGTGGCTTATTGGTAATACTCGCATATGTAGGTGAGTGAGAATGCTTTTACGCAGATTTGAGCAATATTCCAGTAATATCACGGCGGGGGACAACAGAAAAGGGCTTCACACATTGTACCCGGGTCGGAAATCGAACCCGGGTCTTCTGCGTGACAAGCGAACGCTTTAACCACTAGGCTACCCTATACATTATGAAGGTTGGAAAAGAAGTGCACGGGTTTCCAAGTGAGGCAAGGGTAGATTGCGTGGAACCGATTCGACGTGTCCTCCGCCGGGACATTACTATAAAAAAACACTAAAGGGAGAATCATTAGACTTATACCTGAGAATGAGAACGTGGTGTTGGCTGGTTTCATAGTCAAGGGCTGCCGCAAGGTCCACCGAACTGCCTTGGACCACGAATAGGCCATCATCGTTCCCACTTTGTACGGTGAGGGTCAGCGCATCTCCATCATGGTCGGATGTAGCAGGTGCAAGCACAGTGACAGCCCTACCTTCATCAACATTGACAGTGTACCCGCTCTGGTCGAAGAAGGGACTGTTATCATTGACGCCTGTGACAGACACAGTGATTGAGCCTGTGGTGGACTTGGGAGTTGCACCGTTGTCGGAGACGCTGAAGGAGACGCTGTAGCTGGTGACGCCTCCTGTAGCAGCATCTGCATCAAGTTGACCTCCGACCTTTACTTCTCCCGTACTGGCGTCGACAGTGAAGAGACCTGTTCCCGAGGCTGCCAAAAAAGATCAATGAATTTCCTGGCACTTTAGTGGTTGTATACCTCTGACATTTGCTTATTGAAATGCTTGATTATAACAATTTTTATATGATTCGTTTGAATTAGGCTAAATTTTGATTAGGTTTGGTCGCTTTCAATTTTGATTTTTGTATGCAATGAAATTTGAATATCAAGTTAAAGGTGTCTATTTTATAACGACATATATAAAAGTAATGCCTGTGCTTCAAGAATGTCCACATGAACAATTGGGTAGGAAGTATTCTATGTTTCTTAGGTGAGTGAGTGAGTTTTGGTTTTACGCCGCTTTTAGCAATATTCCAGCAATATCACGGCAGGGGAGACCAGAAATGGGATCTACACAACGTACCCATGTCGGGAATCGAACCCGGGTCTTCGGCTTGACGAGCAAACGCTTTAACCACTAGGCTACCCGACCGCCCCTATGGTTCTAGAGAATAAGTATGAATGAATTTAAAGTTGAAAAAACTGGTATGTGAAACGGGTTTATCACCTCTTTGGGTGGTATCGTGTCCTGTAAGCTAAGTGTCGGAGGAAAGCACAAAGTATTGCAGGTACTAGACTTTGTTGAAACCAACGAACAAATATATGATGCTGACAAACATCGAATCATAACCAGGGTGACTTTGGGATTCGAACCACGCCGCACATCGAATTGTTGTGCCTTTGACGACCTACATGTGTGTAGCACCTTCCAACTGACTGTAACTATGTCCTATGGACCAGTCAGATTCCACCTCTCATATCACTTGCGTTTGCTTCAAATATAATAGCCCAGTGAAGACGATCTGATCGCTAATCAAGATCTGTATTGTAATAAAATGCGTCTTACTTCGCGAATTGCATCAAATCACGTGAGCACCTTGATAAAAAAAGAAAGATTAGATTATTTCTGTAAAAAACGATAAGTGTTCGGTTCACATGCATTGCAAATCCTGCAATCGAAAGAACTCTGTACGGCAGTTTACGAACCGGATGTCGATTTCGTTTCGCGACTTTGATTGGGGTGTGCATAGATTCGTTAGTCGAGCCAAAATATAACTCCATTATTGAAGCCTAGTTCGGCATGGGTAGAAAGTGGACTTTTATTGTCAGCTAACTCCCTTGCCTAGGGAAGATGACGACTGAGCTACTTGCGGACCTTTAAAAACTTAAGGTTTCCCTCTTTGTGACTGAAACAAAGTTGAGTGCAAGCGCTCCAGCATTGCCTGGAGTACACAGTGTTGTCACATCGAAAGTGTTGTACAAACAGGCTGTACAAAAGACCTGCGAGATATTCAGAAGTTTTGCTGTAATATTTCTCCTATAACGATAGTTTACTGTAACGAATATTCGTATGTAGGATACAGGGTTTATTATAGAAGACTATAGCTATTGGAACGGGATTGTGCGTTTCGAACAAACAACATGTCAACTGCTTAATAGACAAAACCCAAAACCAAACGTGTCCGATTCTAGCTTAAATGTTCTTTGTTTGCCCAGGACAGTATATCCAGATAATATGTGCGTCGCGTTTCGTAAGCAGGACCCACTGGTATCGTGAGACCGCCTACACACGCAAAGGAAAGACGTGTTGTTCTTTATCTTCACAATACAAAGAGTCAACAAAATAACCACCTGTAGTTTGAAGCGTCCGAGAATTATCGCAATGTCTCACGACATACAATTATCTTACAGTGAGATCGATATTAATATCACACCACCGTTAGGTCACTGTGGCTGGTTTAGCGGGCTTGTCGACATAACCATGAGGTTTTTTGTGGTAGAGAAATACGTACATGTTTTTCGCAGATGTTCTTGTTTGGAAACGTTTGACGATTCATAAAATGTTTACATTCATGCATAATCTGCTCTGACGTGTTGAACATGGTAAATGCTCACGAAGAAGACGACAATTGTATGAACCTGTATGACTAAAAAAGTAGGCCTGATGATGACTATAACCAGCTGATGACAACAACCAGGTGATGTAGGCATGGTTAGGACTACAACCAGGTAATGTAGGTCTGATGATGACAACAACCAGGTAATGTAGGCTTGGTGATGACAACAACCAGGTGATGTAGGTCTGATGATGACTACAACCAGTTGATGTAGGCCTGGTGATGACTACAACCAGGTGATGTAGACTTGGTGATGACTAGAACCAGGTGATGTAGGTCTGATGATGACTACAACCAGGTGATGTATGCCTTGTGATGACTACAACCACTTGATGTAGGCTTGGTGATGAATACAACCAGGTGATGAATGCCTTGTGATGACTACAACCACTTGATGTAGGTTTGGTGATGACAACAACCAGTTGATGTTGGCCTGTTGATGACAACAACCAGTTGATGTAGGCCTGGTGATGACTACAACCAGGTGATGTAGGCCTGGTGATGACTACAACCAGGTGATGTAGGCCTGGTGATGACTACAACCAGCTGATGTAGGCTCGGTGATGACTACAACCAGGTGATGTAGGTCTAATGATGACTACAACCAGGTGATGTAGGCCTGGTGATGACTACAACCAGGTGATGTAGGCCTGGTGATGACTACAACCAGGTGATGTAGGCCTGGTGATGACTACAACCAGGTGATGTAGGCTCGGTGATGACTACAACCAGGTGATGTAGGCCTGGTGATGACTACAACCAGGTGATGTAGGCTTGTTGATGACAACAACCAGGTGATGTAGGTCTGGTGATGACTACAACCAGGTGATGTAGGCTCGGTGATAACAACAACCAGGTGATATAGGACTTGTGACGACTTCAGCCAGCTGATGTAGGCTTGGTGATGCTGATATATTTGATATCGAATGACACGAGGGTAAGGGAAACGTTATTAGTTTGTAATCAGTTTTATGCAGCAACTTGAACGTCTTTTGTAAAGCTAAACAGTATCATTGGCACAGATTAGTGATGTCCTAATATTATGATGTCATGGTAACGGTGATGTCTGCAAAGCATTGTGATGCAATTTCACATCTCCTGGAAGATTTCCCTCGATCTAACCCAAGCGATATCTCCGCGGAAGCCCATTTTTGGATGATAAATTAGTTTATAACCTTTAAATCTGTGCCAAAGAAACTCGAAGGGAAAGGGTTACACGTGGCTTACCTGGCGTCACAGAATCAATGGAGTACGTGAGGACACCATCTGGTCCCATGTCATCATCAGCTGCTGAGATAGTGGTGATGACGGTCAGTTTATCTGTGTTTTCAGCGATACTGCTTCCAGACGGAGTAGATGCCAGATACGGTGTGTGCTCGTTGACAGGCTCAATCTATCCAAATACACCTACACTTAGCAAGACTGATAGAATATCATGAAAGGGCCAGGCCCACACGTTAAGAGACATATTGCGGGCAAAAGTAAAATATTGATACAGTTTGATAATCCCCACATTTTGCCTCCATCACTTCTGGCATTCTCGATTATATAAAGGCCGTCCTTATATAGCTGATATATTGCTGTCTGTGACGCAAAGCAACATCACTCACTGTAATAATATATATCATACGAAGAATTTATCTTCAGCAACAACTCATGCTTGCGGTAAGAGGCGACTAAAGGGATCGGCTGATCTTAGTTAATGCATGTCATCGTTTCCCAATTGCGTAGATCGACGACCATTATGTCTGTCATTGGATTGTCTGGTCCAGCTTTGATTACTTACTGAGTACACTCATGTTGCTGAGTGCGGCGTAAACAACAAACAAACAAAACTAACAAAACTAACAAAACAAACATATAAATGATGAAAGGAAATATAAGGAGTGTCCTTGTTTCACCTTCACGACAACAGCAGCTGTCCCCGTCAGTGGGTCCCCAGAAGGGGGGCTGTCAACAGCTTGCAGGACCAACACGTACTTAAAGTCGTACGCTTCCCGGGACTCGTAATCCAGCGCGGCGGTGATACTGAGTGTATTCCCACTGAGACTGAAGGAAAACCCGGATGTGGAGCCGTCTTGTGAGAAAATAGAATTAGAAATTCCCTGATTGGCAACATCGTTGTCTGTCACAGCTACCGTCAGGATGTCGCCTGAAACAGAGTTTGTAAGGGTTGCTTATATCGCTGCTTGGGTGTATTGTATCACTTCATGCCAGGACGGTGCCAGTGTGCATCCCTTTGGGTGGGCGATTAAGAGATTGAGTGAGTCGTTATTCTAAGATATTTGCTGGTAAACTGGTACGGTAAATATGGTATAATCACGTCCATGGAATGATCAGCATAATGTTGACACGATGACACGGTGGGTAAGCGTAAAGTATGGCGTCAAAGTAACATATCGGCAGATTTGACACGTCTGTCGTGGCAGGATAATTAGTTTACGTTATCCATACCTGCACGGCGCCAGCAATAGCATTATATACCTATATTTCGGCAACGTTAGTATTATACCTACATGACGGCAGCGTTAGTATTATACCTACATGACGACAGCATTGGTATCAATACCGTCATGAGGCCAGCGTTGGCATTATATCTTCATGACGACGGCGTTAGTATTACACATACATGACGGCAGCGTTAGTATCATACCTACATGGCGACATCGCAAGTATTACATCACGACATCGCAATTTTTATACCTATAAGAATACAGCGAAAGTGGCACACCTACATGGCGACATCGCACGTATTATACCTATTTGACGACATCGCAAGTATTATACCTATTTGACGACATCGCAAGTATTATACCTATATGACGACATCGCAAGTATTATACCTATATGACGACATCGCAAGTATTATACCTATATGACGACATTGCAAATATTATACCTACATGACGATATCGCACTTATTATACCAATTTGGCGACATTGCAAGTATTATACCTATATGACGAAATCGCAAGTATTATACCTACATGACGACATTGCAAGTATTATACCTATATGACGACATCGCAAGTATCACACCTATATGACGACATCGCAAGTATTATATCCATTTGACGACATCGCAAGTATCACACCTATATGACGACATCGCACGTATTATACCTATTTGACGACATCGGAAGTATTATACCTATATGACGACATCGCAAGTATCACACCTATATGACGACATCGCAAGTATTATACCTATTTGACGACATCGCAAGTATTATACCTATATGACGACATCGCACGTATTAAACCTTCATGACGACAGCGCCAGTATTATACCTATATGGCGACATCACAAGATCTATACCTATATGACAACATCGCAAGTATTATTCCTACATGACAGCTCAAAATTTATACCTATATGACGACATCGCAAGTATTATACCTATATGACGACATCGCAAGTATTATACCTATATGACGACATCGCAAGTATTATACCTATATGACGACATCGCAAGTATTATACCTATATGACGACATCGCAAGTATCACACCTATATGACGACATCGCACGTATTATACCTATTTGACGACATCGCAAGTATTATACCTATATGACGACATCGCAAGTATCACAACTATATGACGACATCGCACGTATTATACCTATTTGACGACATCGCAAGTATTATACCTATATGGCGACATCGCAAGATTTATAGTATTACCTATATGACAACATCGCAAGTATTATACCTACATGACGACAGCGCAAGATTTATACCTCTATGACGACATCGCAAGTATTATTCCTACATGACGACATCGTCAACGCGATACTTACATAACGACAGCGTTTGTATATTTATCTCTATCTCATCAGCCACTGTATATATGTATAATTAATGTCAGACTCATCACACTAATTTGCTCGTGTCTAAAGCGTTGACTATACTAAACGTCAGTCGTGGCCTATTGCGGCAATCAAATCCAGAAGGGTTCGTGTTCATCATGGTAAACGTAACCCTCTTATCACATAAATCATCTGCTGCGTAGGGTCGTACACTGAAAGATTCAGTATCTCTCACAATACCTGAAGAAGAACCGTCGTTGACGGTGACTTCATAGTAGTCCTGGGAAAACGTTGGAATGTTGTCGTTGTAGTCGGAGATGGTCAGGTCGAAGGACAAGGTGGCTTGGTTTCCGCCCAAGTCGGTAACACTCAGTGCAAGTCCGCTGAAGTCGAATGTAGTGGCCTCCGAGTCCATTAGCTTCGCGATGATGATCTGACCACTCGAGGAATCACAGGATAAAAAGTCCGAGTGAGAACCTGGAAATATATGTTTTATATCACCCCTAATCATTTGATAAAGGTTGATTAATGTGAAATATGTCATTAACATGGTAACTTCAAGTTGAACATAATTCGACTTAAGCGTAGTTCGAAACAAGCGACGTATCGATTGTAAGAATGCGAGAACGAGAGATTTGACCAAAATCTCGTATCGCGCTTATTTGAAATAGACTTCTTGTTACCAAAGGTCGACATGGAGGGAATGCGAGAACAGGACATTGTCAATAACAGTGTTCCAAACGTAAGCGATGTGTGGATTTACATGTAGGTAAGAATGGTTTATTTACCTTTACGATAATGTTTTGAATGAATAATATTTATTTATAAGAAAAAAATACAAAAATCACAAATGATGTAATTTATGAGAAATAATATGAATTTGTTCTATCAATAACCCGTGAGTTAATGAGAGTGCATGTTGAACTAGTACCAGGAAATTCTTTTTAAGATCATCACTTCTAGAAATAAATTCTCAAAATTGTAACAAATCAAAAGGCACGGCCCTGGCGTTTGCATCGAGATTAGATATTTTGTTCAGCTACAGCTATAATATATTTTAAACTATGAACCTGAATTGCTTTTAAATAAAAACATTTTGCAACAGTGTAATTTTGTGGCAGGCAAATCCTTTCCTTTACAGCAATCTGAAGCATATTTATTTATTTCAAGACGATATTTTTTTCGATAAAATCAACCTAACCGAACAATATCAAATGGTCTGTTCCAAATAACACTTGCGTTTGTTGCCATGATCCGACAGTTGGCTCTGAATTCATACTTCAATGACTTGAGTACCTATCTAAAAGTATCGGTTAGACAGATTCGGTGACTTGGTGGTCGCGTGTAACGTTCACCTCCGGCGTAGGACATGGCTTATGTTATTTCTGAAAGCATCAAAGCCTATAACATGGTCGGTCATTAATTGTCTTATCTTGAGCATGTTTCCTCAAAATATATGTGTTTTAAACCATTTAAATTTAAAGACCGGTTTGTTCATGCACGTGAATCTGATCGGATTGCGAAAGTCAAAACAAGAGAATTAGGCCAAGAAGTATGTGGATGATCTGTTATCGTTCAATAACGGTCAAATAGCCAATTCCCTTTCACTGATTTACCCACCTGAGACAGAAATAATTGTGACCAGTGAGGTCTATGCATAAAGATCCAGAGCGACTAAAAACTCTCCACAAGACTTTATGGCAAGAGGGAAGACTTCAACTTTCCAATAGTCAACTTTCCCTTTATGTCGAGCAATTTTCAAACAGCACCAGTCTTGGTATCTACAATGTTTTAGGTACAATCTACAGAGTGTCATAAAACTCTTGCTCAAAGGCTTTTTGGTCAAGCCTACAACATTCAAGGCCTGAGTAAAGCTTTCAAAACGTGACAAAATTTATGTAATTCACGATTTTGATTTGTAACATACGTTCTCTTGATTCTTTTCAGATAAACAATTGACTTGCCTTTGCAAGTGTTTTTGAAAAGTGCCACCAATGGTGCAGGACACACTCATCATTTTGCGAACGTCGACTGAGCTTTTGGCAGAGATGTCTTATGACCATGGAAAGGGTCCTGTTGCTTTTATTCATTCAGTCGTTTCCACCATGCAGTGACTCCTTCAACTGTTATTGCAAAACAAATATACCATAGCGGCTCCAAAGACTTTCTTAACCTACCAGAAATAGCGTACGTCAAGGAGTCTCCCTCCTCCCCATCGACCACAGTGAAGGCAGAACCAATATTGGTTCCTACGGGTGTCCCCTCTGGCAGTGTCATACTGTGTGCCGTGATGGTCGGAGTGACGTCATAGACATTGGTCACCTTTAGAAGCATGGTGTTGCTCACTGTGTGCCTTCCATCATTTGCCCTGGAAGCAGACTTAGAATGAGTGAGTGAGTTGGGTTTACCGCCCCTTTTAAGTATCTCACTGCGTAGCAGTTTGATGTGGGGGGAAAGCCCAATGTGATGCAGGTCTCAGGCGTTTACCACGTGCACTTTGGTGAAACCCACGAGCACGGGTATGGTGTCGATAAACAGAAAAAAAACATGGAGATCCGGGATTGATAACTATGACACACGTTACTATGCTGTATCGACTTAGAATATGTTTAACTGAATGTTTACACTTACATATATTTGATGGATGACAGATAATGCGTTTGCTTATGCATTCAAATGTGATGATTTTACATGTCATTGTCATTAACATAAGTTGAATGAAATTATATTGTATCAATAAATACATTATGTTATTTCTTGGAGACTACATAAAACTTGAAGCACAAACGATGAGATTTGAGTGAACGTTTATGACCGTGGCTACAACCACCTTCTCCCCATCCCGACGCCACGATCCCAGCCCACAAGAAAACCCCTTGTATTACTCCTCCTCATCACCAGCACCCTACAACCGATAAGAAAGGTTTTTGGGGAAGAATTTACTTACGTTAGGGTTATGAGCATATTCGGGCCGTTTGTCTCGTAGTCGAGGGTTTCCATCAAGTAGATATACCCGTAATACACCTTAATAATCAGAAATAAATATACACTGAGATTATAGTGTCGTGACACGATGCATATTGACATTATAGTGTCGTGATATAATGTATGTTGAGATTATGGTGTCGTGTTACGGTGTATATTGGGATTATAGTGTCGTGATATAATGTGTATTGAGATTATGGTGTCGTGTTACGGTGTATATTGGGATTATAGTGTCGTGATATAATGTATGTTGAGATTATGGTGTCGTGTTACGGTGTGTATTGGGATTATAGTGTCGTGAAATAATGTATGTTGAGATTATGGTGTCGTGTTACGGTGTATATTGGGATTATAGTGTCGTGATATAATGTATGTTGAGATTATGGTGTCGTGTTACGGTGTGTATTGGGATTATAGTGTCGTGAAATAATGTATGTTGAGATTATGGTGTCGTGTTACGGTGTATATTGGGATTATAGTGTCGTGATATAATGTATGTTGAGATTATGGTGTCGTGTTACGGTGTATATTGGGATTATAGTGTCGTGATATAATGTATGTTGAGATTATAGTGTCGTGTTACGGTGTATATTGGGATTATAGTGTCTTGATATAATGTATGTTGAGATTATGGTGTCGTGTTACGGTGTATATTGGGATTATAGTGTTTTGCTACGATGCATATCGATATTACAGTGTCGTGATACGATTAATATTGATATTATAGCGTCGTGATACGATACATATTGATATCATAGTGTCGTGATACGATTAATATTGAGATTATAAAATCGTGTTACGCTGTATATTGATATGATAGTGTCGTGACACGATAACTACCGATATCATTGTGTTGTGATACGATGTATATTGAAATTATAGTGTCGTGATACGATACATATTGATATTATAGTGTCGTGATACGATGCATATTAAGATTATAGTGTCTTGATACGATGCATATGGATATTTCTTTTGTGTCGTGATGCAATATATGTTGAGACCATAGTGTTATTAAACGGTGTCTATCGCGATAATTAGGTCGAAGTACAATATAGATTGAGAACAATGTGTCGTGATAGAATAATATCGTGATAATAGTGACGGGACAGAAAGAAAGCCCGAGATTATAGTTACGGGGATATACATGATACAATACACATAACACATATTTCAGGTTTACATACATGGGATAAACGATTTGAATTTGGAATGTTATTTCATCCTGACAAGTTCATATGTTTCTCCAACCTGGAAATAATTGGTGTTTGGGGTGTCAGTTGCGAAGGTGATTTCGTCGTCCTCAGGGTCCGTGCCCGCCAGGGCGTACAACGCCTGGTACTGGGCTGTGTCCTCCGGTATAACGAGGGCTTCGTTACCGTCAGGCGAGGGAGAGTTGAAGAGGGGAGGCTCGTCTGGGAACAGAGATGGATACATGCAGAGTATACGGAGTATTCATACCGAATATACACATGTAGTTAACTTACAGAGTATACACACGGAGTATACATACCGAATATACACATGTAGTTAACTTACAGAGTATACACACGTAGTATACATTCTGAATATACACATGTAGTTAACTTACAGAGTATACGCACGTAGTATACATATCGAGTATACGTATGTAGTTAACTTACAGAGTATACACACGGAGTATACATACCGATACACATGCAGGTACCTTACAGAGAATACACACGGAGTATACATATCGAATATACACATGCAGGTACCTTACAGAGTATACACACGGAGTATACATACCGAATATACACAATGTCATGCAGATAACTTAAAGAGTATACACACGGAGTATACATACCGAATATACACAATGTCATGCAGATAACTTACAGAGTATACACACGGAGTATACATACCGAATATACACATGTAGTTAACTTACAGAGTATACACACGGAGTATACATACCGAATATACACATGTAGTTAACTTACAGAGTATACACACGGAGTATACATACCGAATATACACATGCAGATAAGTTACAGAGTATACACACGGAGTATACATACCGAATATACACATGCAGATAACTTACAGAGTATACACACGGAGTATACATACCGAATATATACATGCAGATAACTTACAGAGTATACACACGGAGTATACATACCGAATATATACATGCAGATAACTTACAGAGTATACACACGGAGTATACATACCGAATATACACAATGTCATGCAGATAACTTACAGAGTATACACACGGAGTATACATACCGAATATACACTTGCAGATAACTTACAGAGTATACACACGGAGTATACATACCGAATATACACATGCAGATAACTTACAGAGTATACACACGGAGTATACATACCGAATATACACATGCAGATAACTTACAGAGTATACACACGGAGTATACATACCGAATATACACATGCAGATAACTTACAGAGTATACACACGGAGTAAACATACCGAATATACACATGCAGATAACTTACAGAGTATACACACGGAGTATACATACCGAATATACACAATGTCATGCAGATAACTTACAGAGTATACACACGGAGTATACATACCGAATATACACAATGTCATGCAGATAACTTACAGAGTATACACACGGAGTATACATACCGAATATACACATGTAGTTAACTTACAGAGTATACACACGGAGTATACATACCGAATATACACATGTAGTTAACTTACAGAGTATACACACGTAGTATACATACCGAATATACACATGCAGATAAGTTACAGAGTATACACACGGAGTATACATACCGAATATACACATGCAGATAACTTACAGAGTATACACACGGAGTATACATACCGAATATACACATGCAGATAACTTACAGAGTATACACACGGAGTATACATACCGATACACACATGCAGATAACTTACAGAGTATACATACGGAGTATACATACCTAATATACACAATGTCATGCAGATAACTTACAGAGTATACACACGGAGTATACATACCGAATATACACTTGCAGATAACTTACAGAGTATACACACGTAGTATACATACCGAATATACACATGCAGATAACTTACAGAGTATACACACGGAGTATACATACCGAATATACACATGCAGATAACTTACAGAGTATACACACGGAGTATACATACCGAATATACACATGCAGATAACTTACAGAGTATACACACGGAGTATACATACCGATACACACATGCAGATAACTTACAGAGTATACATACGGAGTATACATACCGAATATACACAATGTCATGCAGATAACTTACAGAGTATACACACGGAGTATACATACCGAATATACACATGCAGATAACTTACAGAGTATACACACGGAGTATACATACCGAATATATACATGCAGATAACTTACAGAGTATACACACGGAGTATACATACCGAATGTATACATGCAGATAACTTACAGAGTATACACACGGAGTATACATACCGAATATACACAATGTCATGCAGATAACTTACAGAGTATACACACGGAGAATACATACCGAATATACACATGCAGATAACTTACAGAGTATACACACGGAGTATACATACCGAATATACACATGCAGATAACTTACAGAGTATACACACGGAGTATACATACCGATACACACATGCAGATAACTTACAGAGTATACATACGGAGTATACATACCGAATATACACAATGTCATGCAGATAACTTACAGAGTATACACACGGAGTATACATACCGAATATACACATGCAGATAACTTACAGAGTATACACACGGAGTATACATACCGAATATATACATGCAGATAACTTACAGAGTATACACACGGAGTATACATACCGAATATACACAATGTCATGCAGATAACTTACAGAGTATATACGCGGAGTATATATACCGAATATACACATGCAGATAACTTACAGAGTATACACACGGAATATACATACCGATACACACATGCAGATAACTTACAGAGTATACACACGGAGAATACATACCGAATATACACAATGTCATGCAGATAACTTACAGAGTATACACACGGAGAATACATATTACCAAATATATACATGCAGGTAACTTACCGAGTATACACATGCAGTATAAACACAGAGTATACGCAGATTAGACAGACTATACACACGGGGCAGATATGCACACGGAGAGTATATGTAGTATGCACTGAGTACACACACGAAGTATGCACACGAAGTATATACACATATAGTATACACAGGGTATACACACGGGGCAGATATGCACACGGAGAGTTTATGTAATATGCACTGGGTACACACACGAAGTATATACACATATAGTATACACAGGGTATACACACGGGGCAGATATGCACACGGAGAGTATATGTAGTATGCACTGGGTACACACACGGAGTATATACACATATAGTATACACAGGGTATACACACGGGGCAGATATGCACACGGAGCGGAGTATATACACATATAGTATACACAGGGTATACACACGGGGCAGATATGCACACGGAGCGGAGTATATACACATATAGTATACACAGGGTATACACACGGGGCAGATATGCACACGGAGCGGAGTATATACACATATAGTAAATACAGAGTATACACACGGGGCAGATATGCACACGGAGAGTATATGTAGTATGCACTGAGTACACACACGAAGTATGCACACGGAGTATATACACATATAGTATAAACAGGGTATACACACGGAATACACACGTATACGTAATATACATTTAAAACATATACACAGTGTTCATTACGCACATTAAAAGTTCAAAAACAGACGTAACTTTATTCAGTTGGAGGGGCGGTCGGGTACCCTACTGGTAAAAGCCTCGTCACGCCGAAGACCCGGGTTCGATCCCCGACATGGGTACAATGTGTGAAGCCCATTTCTGGTGTCCCCCGCAGTGATATTGCTGGAACATTGCTAAAAGCGGCTTAAAACCATACTCACTCACCCACCCAACCACCCAACCACTCACTCACTCACTCACTCACTCACTCACTCACTCACTCACTCACTCACTCACTCACTCACTCACTCAATGCTCATTCAGTAGGACTAAACGAAACTGGGAACAATGGATTAACATATTAAGGAGGTTCGACTGTATAGAGACGTTGATTTTACCTGTCAGCCACCTCCATTGGCCAGACGCCTCTGTTGATAACGATGCTAGGATGAGGATATTCTTGCTGAATGATCTCCCAAAATCAGCAGTCAAATACGTGTCAACATTTGGCTCTAGTCCACGCCCCATGGAGAAGGAAGTCCCCTCCCATGCAAACCACAGAGGCTTCCATGTGTCACACGCAAGCACAAGGCCATATTCCCAGGTGAGAAAGCTACCGCCATCAAGTATAGCGGTATAGGACCCGTAGTAGTCGAGTTGGTAATAGGCGTAGTTGTCCCAGTCGTCGTTGTCCGAAATGTATACCTCCATACTTTGACATGCCTTTATCTCGCCTCGGACGTAATTCCGGCCAATAGGTTCGTGGCCGAAGTCGTAACCTTTCACGTAGTTGTAGGCAACATCGATGTATGTCCATTTACCTCCTTAAATGCAAAATAAGGTATCTCAAATAAAATATTTCAAAAGTATTCAAATCACAAATAATTAAAATGTTTCCCAATTTTATATCTAATTTAGCGGCACCCCTGACTGAAAAGTGTTCAAAGCAGGGTTACATGTTCGATGCAATGTCCTATTTTAACCTGTACGAAATGTTCCCGTGTTATTTAGGTGAACAATTGTCATGTCTTTGCATGTGCCACCGGTGGGGAAGGATACGCCCACCTTTTCGCGAACATCTGGTGTCGTCACTATTTGATAGTGATAATAAACACATGCTCATAATACAGTCGGAATCGTGCAGTCGACTGTGACGTTGGCAGAGCTTTTTTATGAATATGGAAAGGGTTTTGTCGCTTCTATGTACACCAAAGCCAATCGATCTATTTAGTGAGTGAGTGAGTAGGGTTTAACGCCGCGTTTAACAGTATTACAGTTATATCACGGCGTCTCAGCTTAATGTGGGAGGAAAGCCCGAAGTGATGCAGGTCTCAGACGTATACCACTTCGGTGAAACCCACGAGCACGGATATAGTGCTGACAAACCTAGAAACATAATCGGGGTGAACCGGGATTCGACCCCACAATCATAGGTTTCTGGCGTGCCCAAGGGACGCAACTCTGCACAGCTAATCGCGACGCCTTAGACGATAGTGACATGTTGTCGTCGAAAACTGTTCATTATCATGTCACATAAGAGGTAATATTAGTTATTGACTATGATTCATATAAAGCAACAATGGCATGTTGCGATACAAAAGAAACAAAGCCAATGTTGGTTAAATCTTCTATATGCCTTGCAATGAAAGACATGCTTTTGCCTGTTGACTCGCTGTAAGAGCCCTGGCGGTCTCCTCCCATTAGTAAGACAGCCCAGTTGTGAGACACCTTAAAACAACAATGTCATACCTGGTTGCACATGTTAATCAGGTAATTAACCCCTATCATGAAAATGGACTTGTCTTATTATAGACAAAAGAAATGACTCAAGATGCTTGATACCCTCTTTTACTTTATTTCATTCAACATTTTAATTCATCCATCCCTTAAATCCATTTTTCTAACACATTCGCCACTTAGAGTTCAGTTAAAGTTTATATCACAGTTCACATTACAGTTCACATCGAGGTTGTCACACTGACACAACCTTAATCCATCTTCAGAAGTTTGCCAACAGCATCCAAGAACTGGAGTGGTGTCTTGACACCCTGGGATAGCTGATCCTTCAGTCTGGAAAGTCGATTGTCAATCTCCTTGTACACACGCTTTCTTGCTGGTGGAGCTGCACCTAGGTCTAACTGAGATAGCTTGGTCTTCTCAGATTTCTCAATCTTCTTGATGATCTCGATGAACCTGTAGAGATTAGGATGACGATGATTCAGTGATGCATTGAGGCGACTGTGGAAACCCTCCAGGTTGTTGTTGGTCCTTGGGCCGAATGTCTGGTGATGGTTCCACAGCGAAAGAGGGAATCTGGCTTCATAATCCACCCAGTTTGCTACTATGTAGTCGTTGAATTCGTCAGCATTCGGTACATCGGGAGGCTGGTTCATGGAGTCAATCCATGCATCCTGAACCTGTTGAAGAGGGCAGCAGAGGCAAGGCAGCAGCTCGTCGGATCCACTGTTCCACAAGGGGGTTATCTCTGTATCCAACAGCAAGACCAGGCTCCTGTGTTTTCCGCCAAATCGCCTGGGTAAAGTGGAAGAAACACCCCTTGATGTCTGAACCTTGAAACTCTGTCCGGAGGGCTCTAATGGCAGCAACTTCAAAGTCCACCTGGAATGGTTGGTTCAGTAGTTGTTGGATGTGGACCTTCAACTGAGCAAAGAGGCGTTGGTAAGTTGTAGTCCGACGATCAGGCATCAATGCGTAGACTAGGGGATAGGTAATGCTTCCTTTCCGTGCATGCAGTATGTAAAGCTGATTCCAAAGATCTGGACAGGCGGAGAAAGTACCATCCATGTAGACAATGGAAGCTGACTGGAGGACTCTAAGCTGATCACTAGTTGCAAATACCAGCATCTTGTCTTCTTCACCGTCGGCAAAAAGCAGAAACCGCTCACCGTCATGGGTCTCTCTCCAGGGTGCTGCAATGTCGACTTCAGCTCTGGTTTTAGGGAGTTTCGGGATGGTGTGACTGCGGTGTCTGTACATGGCGCCGCCGACTGAGCTGAAGGAGGGAAATATAGCTGCAGCCTCCGGATCATGTGTCAAGACCTCGTCGTTGTAGAGGGCTGGCATAGGAGTGGTTGGTTCTTCTCTTGCTCTCTTCCTTAAGCTGCCAAGGAACTGGATTCTGCTGGTGTCTTCTGGTGGGTGGTTGTGTACAGTGAAATTTCTAACAAAATTTCCAACTGTTGTACATTTGCCAATGCAGGTCTTAAAGGCACATCGCCAATGAGTACCAGTTTGTCTTACTTTGTTCTTTTAGTGGAGATATCCCTGAAAGAGGACCTGGAGAGTACCTCTTTGACTGGTAATGAACTGAACCTGTTGCAAACCTGCCATGATTGTGCATAAAATGTTCACAGACTGGGGGGGAATTTATATGTGTAATAAGTACGTTTTAACAAAACATGCATCTCAACTTTTTGAGTAAGCTCCTACTAGCTCCTAACTCATTTATTTCCTGAGAATATTCAAACGGAATTACTGGCCTACTCTTATTAATTAATCCGCTAATCATGGGCTGTGACCATTGTTAAGTGGGTAGACTGGCTGTGTTTGTTTAAATAATCCCATCTACTCCACTGTCTTACAATGGGTGTCTCACTAATGGGATGTCTTACTAATGGGATGTTAATTCCCTGAGGCTGAGTTAACATTCGACCTTGACGGCAGCATCCGCTCCTGATCCACAACTGACGCTGTTCCACTTGAGTCGCGATCTGCGACTGGAACCGACAACTGATGCTCATCACCTTCCAAAGTAGTAGCTGGCATGTCCTCAATAACGAGCCTGCCATTCTAATAATGGCCCCTCTCGTTGTCAGATCTGAGCAAAGTCAGTTTCTCACGCTGTCGCCTTTTACGAATAATTACAAGAAACCGAGCAAAAACAATGAAAGATGTGCAAATAGCAAAACGTACCCTATATTTCTAATGACACTTTGTTTATAAGAATTTTTCACAATAAGAGGCGATATGTACGATATTAACCCTTACTGTTAACACGTAACCCTTAATACAAAACCTTTATGTTAAGAGTAATTTTTACATTAAGGGTTGTAACAACGCTCTATGTATGTGGAATAACTGCGTTACAATTGCGTGATTACCGCGTTTCCAATGCAATAACGTACCGGTTTGGTATCTCCAAAAACAAGGAAAGTGCCACAGAGCGGCTGTAAAGTGAAGACTATGTTAAAGCGAGTGATCAAAAACCGGGATGCAACGAATGTAATGTTATTTTTATTATTATTTTGTTGTTGTTATTATTTACAGATTAAAATTTTAAAATGCAGCAAAGAGGGTTTGGGTTGATCCTGGCTGGTTATTATTATTATTATTATTATTATTATTATTATTATTATTATTATTATTATTATTTCACATTAGGTGCCTGGTCTGTCGGGGTATACATGGGCTGACATAATCAAGGGCAAATTAGGGCAAAACTGGGAATGGAGCCCAATATGAACGGATCCTCGCACGACAAAGGGACGCAATTCTACATGGAACACTGTGTCGCCTGTTTTATGAACTATGAAATCATGGCTATTTTGAATGAACACTACGCAGTTTGCCAAAAGAATAAGAATACCGTAGGTGTTGTAAAGTATCCATATGCGTTATCATAAAGTAACAATGCAACAGGTGATATATGGACTTAGCTACATACCATTTGCAGGGAGAAGACTCAGCCATAGAACCAACAGGTGCGTCAAGACGTGAAACTCCATGGTTAGTCACACCTTCAGGCATAGATCTGAAAGAAACGGAGACAGTACAATAGATTCAAGGTCTACAAGATGCTGGTAGACCCTCTCTGTACTACAGTTACATCTTATATTGCTTAAGTGACTTCAGATTGCACGGGGGGCGCTGGTGGCCCAGTCGTCTAAGGCCCCGTAATTCGCTGTGCAGAGTTGCGTCTCTTGGGCACGCCAGAAACATATGATTGTGGTTCGAATCCCGGTTCGCCCCGATTATATTTCCAGGTTCCCAGCACCATACCCGTGCTCGTGGGTTTCACCGAAGTGGTAAACGCCTGAGACCTGCATCACTTCGGGCTTTCCTCCCACATTAAGCTGCCACGCCGAGATATAACTGGAATACTGTTAAAAGCGGCGTTAAACCCAACTCTCTCACTCACTCAAATTGTACGATGCTTTATGTTTTGTTGCGAATATATTTATTTGTTGTACAATATTATTTTGGCGTATGATATCATACTTAAAATAACAATATATAAAATTAATATGTAACATGATACATATGCAAAGATGACCAACTTAACATGTGCTTATTCAAAAAAGTATGAAACGCCCAACAGACAATGTTCAGAGAGCTATGTTCAATTCAAAGAAACACAAAATGCCCTATGCAATTGCTGCACGTCCAATACTCAACGAATGACCATCTGCGGTGACTGGAAAACCGTTAGGTTGCGTTTGGGTGGTTGTTTCTGTGGCTGGAAACCTGCCCGAATTTACCAAAATTCAAATGCATCTTTTTCTATGTTCAAACATTTTTCATCCCTAATGCAACAATGCACATATGCTGTGCGTGATTTTTCTGAATCAATGCACACATGGCTGCAAAGGTGGCATCACATAGGTCCTTTCTCTGCTTCTTGTGGAAACTATGCCGACAAGAAGATGCAAGGCCCCTGTAGAAGTACCCATCTCTTCAACGAATGTGGGTAAGATGTCGGTGGCATGGTAATGTCCAAAAACTACCCCGTTCTGGTTGGCATGGATTCACCAGCTCCAATCCTTGATATTTTTATTCCAATAAGAACTGAATATTTGAGGTGACGTTTATAACCCAATAGTATTAAACGGCATCACCTAGAGGGGTCAGTTTGGAAGTGGTTCCTTTTAAATAAAGCTAGTAGGTTATGAATCTATAAAACCGTTTAGTCCGTATGCGTATCCTCTTAATTTTCATTAATTTTCATCTATCAATAAAATCATATGATCATCGTTGTTTTTCCTTGTGCGCTGGTACCTGTATGTGATCAGGCGAAAGAGACAAAAACATCCCATAATCATAAAAATCTTTACTTAAAGCACAGTCCATTGTGCGATTCTGACTATATCATTAGCATGTGCTTATAAATCACTACCAAACAATAATGACACCAGGTATTCGCGAAAAGATTAGCACCCATTAGTAGCACATAAAGAAGATGTAACATGTTACGATTACCCATCTGCATATGGATAAGTAACTTAACAGAGGCGTAATGAAGAGGGTTAAAGTGAAGAAATATATATTTAAGGGAAAATTTCTAATAAAATATTTTAAAAGGAAACGTCCGTGTTCGACATGTGACCTTACGTTAAATTTCGCAATCCCTGAAACAGACGCGAGATCATAATTATAACATATAGGCCTGTTGATTTTTTAACATATACTGTTGATACAAGCATATCTATATAATATATTGAGAAAATATATATTGCAATGACGTTATACTTACATTTTGTGTTTACAAGCGAGATTTGACCACCGACTTACATATTGCTTCAAAACAGACTACAGTATTTTGTTGTGTCCTGTGCGAGACCAGTACAATTAAGCCACACTGCGTGTTGCGACAATGTAACTAAGCTTGTCAGATCAAGGCGATTCGTAAAATCCTTAACACTATACATTTGCGTGACCATGGGACAAAAAGGGTTCAATATCATCGATCAGTGCGGTATAGTATGATTAAACGGCTTATTGATTATTATATATATTGATTTGAGGATGGTCATCTGAGCTTCATGGGGACTATGCTAACGCGGAACCTTCAGGTAGTCCCACAAAGACTAGGAGTAACACACCAACGTGATATAGGTAAACATGTTGACACTATGTTAAGATAAAAAAGATCTGATATAACAGCGAGTCACGTTGGTGTGATTTAGGGTAGGCGGATTTCATGCGTAGATTTGAAGATAAACATTCGTTTTGTACAATTTGACAGTCATCATGGCTGCTGTCACATATCACTCGAGGAATAATACCTTGACACGTTTTTGTCTTCCACTTTTTTCTTTATTTCCTTTGGTAAACGAATCCTTTGATGTGTTTTTTCCGAGGAAAGGACTAATGTGAGCAAAGGGCATAATATACAAAGTAAAGTGATCTGTTTTGTACAAACCGATGTATCATAGATATTGTTTATGGATTTATACTATACCGAGTAAATAATATACAATACCGTGGCATTGCAACTGAACGCAACATCCAATCACAATGGAATTTCACATCATGACGTGTCTCTGCTTATTGGGGAACTCGGGGCGGTCGGGTAGCCTTGTGGTTAAAGCGTTCACTCGTCACGCCGAAGACCCGGGTTCGATTCCCGACATGGGTATTATGTGTGAAGCCCATT